CAATATATTTATTTGTAAAGTTTATCTATTTCTGTCAATATATATATATATATATATATATATATAAATAATTATGGTAGGTTAACTTACTATAAAGTATTATATTTAATAAATATAATATATAACTAATTAAAAATACTATAACAAATTACTATTTAAAAGATTAATTTGAGAATTTAATACGCCATATATATATATATATATATCAATTTAACATGTAAAAATATTATATTTAATAAATATAATATTTAATTATATTACTTTAATTTATTCTTTGTTATATTTAATAAAAAGCTTTTTTCACTATATTAATATAATAACATAAAAATTATATACACAATATAGTTATAAAAATTTTAATATTAATAATATACGTATATATAATTGACTACTTTAAGTTATTAATGTAGCATTAGATACAATATTTATTAAATATAAAAATAAAAAAATAATATAATGATATTAAAAATTAATTAAATTAGTACTGTTAAGTACTACGGTTAATTAATGACATTTTTGGGATAAATTAACTTATATATATATATATATATATATATATTAAAGAGAAAATATATTATATTTAATTATATAATTAACAATTTTACTTTAATTAGTTGAAAAGTGAGATATTCTTTCACAATTTATTATGTGTATATTTTATAATTAAAACTAATAAAAAAATTATGTGTAAATTACACTATTTTATTGTAATAATTTTATATGTTACTCACATTTTTTTAATTTCATTTTAAATATTGATGATTAAAATTGTTATTTATATTTTTTATTACTTTATATATATTTCTAGATTTTTCAAAAAATATATTTTTATATTTATAAAAATAATCTTAATTTTATTAAATTTATATTATATTGATAGATAAAAATTGCAAAATAAAATATTGTTGAATATAATTAATTATTATTAAATATAATAATTAATTATATTATTTTTAATTGATGATATGTTATATTTAGTAAATATAATACTGAATATTAATTTAATAAAAAAATAATATATATATATATATATATTATATTAACTGTAGCATTCAATATTATATTTGTTAAATACACAAGTGAATGACATTTATGTGTATTGATTCTTTATTTATTTATAAATATACTAATTAATTATATTATTTTTAATTAATGATATGTTATATTTATTAAATATAATATTTGTGTTTGATCGCCTATTATAATAGTGAGCAAATATCAATGATAAAAAAAATAAATATATATATATATATATACACCGATCGGTAGAATATTTTTATTGAATTTTAATGCATTAGTCAAGGCATTTTGTCAGATTGCTCGTTGAGAATATCCAAATATGGAAATCCATGTGGGACAAAATTACAGTGAAGGTGGTCTCATCCATCAGCTATTATATATACATGCGTCTGAAGAACATGTTTCACCAACAACATGGACACTGCAAGGTCTTCCGTTGCCAAATTGGCATTCTTTATGGCTCTCTTCGTCATTGCCTCAGGTGAGAAATGATGTTCTATTTTCATCTCTCAATTCCACGACTCAATTCCGACACACTAAATTGTGTTTCTTTCTTTAAACAAAATCTGTAATGTGTATACAACGTTGTTCTTATGATGTTGTTGTGATGACGTTATTGATGTATGCAGACATGTGCACTGAATCGGAAGCAAGGGGAATCATTACGATATGGCACTGTCAAGACAACTCAGATTGTCAAGTTAGATGTCCAAGGTGTGGTTGCATATGCGTTCAGACCCTGTGTCGGTGTCCAACGCCACCATCTAATACTTTAAACCATGTTTTACCTATCGAAGGAACAGCAAATTGAGTATCAGAATCTTGAGATGCAATTACTTAGTACATATAGATGGCTCCCAGTAATGGAATATGAATAATGAATGATTGCATCTCCTATTGTATCCAAACATTATCTCATCAATGTTAGTAAGACTTATGCTTTAAACTATTTCCTTTTTTCAATTAGGATTTAGGTTAAATTTTACTTTCAAAATCAGGTGGCAAAAAGACGTTGAATCATCCTCCAAAACTGAATATCAAGAACAACTTAATAAATTGATCAAATCTTACAAATCCTATACAAATAGCAGAAATATTTATACCGATAGTTTAACTAAAGCTAGCGCATTACGAGTTAAACTACCTGTAAATTTTTCAAATTTATTCATAATAAATTAGTGATTTCTTTGTGTATGTATATATAAATTATTAAACAAATATAAATTAGAATATGAATAATGAATTAGTCAATTTACTAATTTAAAAAAATTATTAAGAGACGTAATCCTATATTTAAAACAGTCCTCACTTTGTGTATGTATATAAAATAGTGTTTTTAACTCATACGGTGGACAGAAATATTTTATCAAATATAAAAATTTATTTAAAAATTCATCTTATCAAATAAATACTTATAATATAAAAAAATTATAAAAAATATTAAAATAAAAGCAGGGCCATTCCTGACTTTTTGGAGGCCCTAGGCAAAATAAGAAATTAGGGCTCTTTAAAAAAATTATAAAATGTAATAAACAAAATAAATGCATATATTAATAATTTTATTAAAATAATATATATTTTTAAGTGGCTATAATTTTTTTTAATAAAATTATTAAAAAAATATTCTTTCATTCAACCAATTCTTATAATATAATTAACTACAAAAATAAAATAAATCATAAAAAATGAGTTCTACGAGTATTCTAAAATGCAAAATCATTAACGATAACATTAACATTAATATTTTTTAAAAATTCTTTATCGATTGATAAAATTATGAGACTATTCAACGGCTCTTGTGACATTGATGACTTTAGGTAGGTTTTGATTAACTTTAACTCTAAAAAACTTCTTTCAGTTGATGATATAGTCACTTAGACCCTAAAAAAAATTCTATAAGTAAACATTTAGATAACAATTTGTAAATTTGACAAACTCAATAATTGTTTAATTTTTTTGGAGAAAACTAAATTTCTCTAAAAGCTTTAATGTTAAGAATAGTAAAATTTTTGAATTAAATGAAATTTTGAGTCTACAGAAATTAATGAGTTGACTACATTTATAGCAAGTGAGGTGCGAGAAATTAAAAAGTCTTTTTTGTTTTTCTATTTTTTTCAACTGCAAATTGTAAGAGCTAGAATTTTTTTCAAATAAAAATAGGACACAATTTTTACTTTGGGCCCTCTTTTAAGCTTGGGCCCTAGGCGATCGCACCTCTAAACTACCCTCAAAACCGGGCCTGAATAAAAGATAAATTGTTACAATAAAACCTTGTAATACAAATAAACACATGTATAATATCAAAATTATAATTTTTTTATCTAAAAGAATTACTTAATAAATAAATTGTGACAAAAATATATAATAAATTTAATAGAACGAATATAAATAAGACTTAGTAATATTTTAATATTTTTTAATGTAAATAACTGATAAAAATAAAGTTTTTTAATTTAATAAATTATAATTGTCAAAAAATTATGTTACTTTTAAAACAGAGTTATTTGCTAGAGACTAGAGTGCACAGAGGAGCATCGAGATATGATAAATTGAGCAAGTAGATTAAATGTACAGGTCAAGGGATGCAAAAAACTGTACTAAATTATTGAAGATAAGGTTGCTTCGTAAAAAAAATAATAAAATAATCTAAGATAAATTTCTGTTAAACACTAATAAGTTTTTATTTAAATTTACAATAAAAAATAAAATTATCATTCTGTGGCATAAGCATCTAAAAATCATGTAATGATGATGAATTTTCCTATGCATGGTGAAACTGGTTGCTATCAATGTGCCCAAAAGGGGAACGTGAGAGAGATTATTGCAGGGGTAAGAGAACAACACAATTGTTCTCTTTATTATTTATTTATTTGTTTGTTCATTTTTCTGTTATTTTGAAGAAAGCCTTCGTTTGTGTATTGCAACACCGTGTGACATGCATATGATAGTAACATGGTTTGTGATGGGACCGATTCTAATGCCATTATTATTATTAATGAAGTGGAAATGCATAAAAATTTTCATTCAACTATTAGATAAGGAAAGAATTTAAATTGTATGCTCTCTCTATGCCACTTATCTAATTTAAACTCATTAAATAAGTTATTCAAATTCATAAAATTATAGTACCCAATACACCTTGGACCAACAAGGATAAATAAACAAGTTAATTTTTTATTAAATTTAATAAATAATTAAAATGATTTAAAATAATATGTTGTTAGTATTTCTAATATGCTTTTCTCCTACACGAGTCATCTAAATTTTGGTAAATTAGAAACAAAATAGTATTTAATATTAAAATTAATTATAAAAAATAATGATATAAAAATATTAATTAAAAGTGAGTTAGAATCTGATAACACTAGATATATTAAAGAAATTAATGAATTTAACTATTAAATCATTTTATATTATCTTTTGATTATATATACTAAATTTTATTTTAATAAGTATGTAATTCAAAACTTAATATTTATAATTATTTCAAAAATATATTAATAAAATTATGTAATGAAGTGTTTTTTTTGTTGTTGATTTATTTGATAAAAATCTTTATATCAATTGTTGAATTAATTAATCTTATGTTTTATAAAAAATTATTAATTGATGTAATTATTTAAGTTTACATAAGGTGTTAATGAATTTTAACTTACTTTTAATTAATATTTTCATTTTATTATTTTTTGCGTAGTTAATTTTAATATTAAAATAATATAGTTGAAAAAAAAGAAACTTTGGCCAACGTTGGTCTTTCTCCTTCTTGGCCAACATTGGTCAATTATGATAAAAATTGAGTACCGGTTAAGTATTGATGGCAAAACAATAAAAAACTGTTTTTAAGAAATAAATAAAAATAAAATTTGTTAATAATCAAAATTTAATTTTTTATTTTAAAAAAATATTTTTAGAAACAAAAAAAAACCTGGCTAGTATTTACTCAAAGTATTTACCGTCTCATCTGGAGACTCTTGATATGGTCACTCTACGAGTTTGAGGTCAATAAATTTGGTGGGAATGTGAGCAATCTTTTCATAAATTTGCTTACAATAAGGAGATGAAATCATTGTAATCTTTCCCATCAACAGACCTTCGATGTATAAAGCGACCTTGACAGAATCAAGATGGAGAGAATTCAGGGTATTGGCATATTTGAAGTGAGATTCAAGGAAGTATCGCATCTTACCAATGAAAGTTTCACTCTGATACTCGTCTCGTCTTTGACTTGGCATCGTAAAGCTTGTGTTGATTTCGTCCAACAAATCTTCAACATCACAGACAGCACCTCTCACCATATCCAGCCATTCCTTGACAGTAGCATTTGAGAATTGTTTCTCTTCAGCATCAGTGAGGACAGCTTGAATACTCAACAGTGTTATTTTCACCTTGTTAATCAGTAACAAGTCCTGTTGTCTTAAAGACTTTGTAATTTCAAGCATGAACCACGTTTATGGAAACATGACTACTGGCAATGGCAAAAACATTTATCAACCTTGTCTGAGTTTGAGAGCATAGCCAACATCAATGTTCCATTCACTACACACTCAATTGTTATGTCTAGTACAACGAAGACAACTCTGAATAATGTCTAGATATGCCTGAAACATCAATAAATTGTGTACTGGATAAGCCACCATTCAGTTGCAATGATAGAAAAAGGAAACCAAATACCCCTTCAGCCTAATAAAGACGAGCACACTCCAGGTTAAATTAAGACTAAATTAGGGGATGAATTAACCTATTAACATAAATAATCTTTAATCATTTACTTAATTGAAAAGCTAAAATATAAGGCTGATGCATAAAGCCCATTAGTCCAACAGTGTGCGTATAAAAGGAAAGTAAGAAGTACAGGTAAAATGTTGACTTTTAAATATTCAATAGCATTTATTATCTAAATCGACACCTGACTATATCATTCGAATATCTTTTGCAAGTACACCCCCTGCTTAAGATTGCGAAAAGCTAGCAGTACTTGCAAGGACGTCACCTTATTCTACAAAAGAAAAGTATTGAGAAGACTAGTGTACCTTTAGCAGGAACATTTTGGCGCTCACCATGGGGCACGATTTGTCTCGAGTTCAGAATAATCATGGTACTTACAAAGAGTCAGCAGGAAGGACAGAGTCAGCAAGGGTGAGCCTCTCATCAGTAGGAGGATGCTACGCCTAACCCACCGATACCTGAAGTTCTAGCCCAAGAAGGAGGAGATGAAAGCCTTTTTTCGGTGATAAGAAAACTTAGAGCTGAAATGAGGGAGATGCAAAAGATAAGAGAGAAAGACGCTTTAGAGTTGTCGGCTTTGAGAAAGGAGAATACCAACTTAAGGGAAGAAATGAAAACCTACATACCCTCTCAAACTACTCCCCTACTCCAGGAGCAAGGAGAGTCTTCAATTCTACAGGGAAGGCCGAGCACATATCAGCAAACTAGGACCCTTGTCAAACGAGACTTTGCTTCAGGTCGAAGTCCTTTCATCCAACCAATTCTGGAAGCTAAGTTACCTGAGAACTGGAGAGGCTTAACACTGGAGAAGTACGACGGGTCAACCAACCCTGAGGAACACTTGGATATCTTTACAACTCAAGTCGGCCTATACACAGAAAATGATGCCCTATTATGTCGGATATTTCCTACTTTACTTCGTGGATCAGCCCTCAACTGGTTTACCGAGCTACCACCTTCATCTATTGACTTGTTTGCAATGCTCACCAGACAATTCAATTTGCAGTTTGCCACAAGCTATCGTCATCCTTTGACGCCATTGGCATTAGTAAATATTCAACAGAAAAAGAGAGAGACACTTAGAGCGTTCATGGAATGCTTCGGCAAAGTTGCCCTCTTAATCCACAATTTGGAGCCGGTAGTCACAATGCACCACCTTATAACAGCTTTAAGGCCAGACCCTTTTATCAACAGTATATGCAAAAAACCACCAATTGATATGGATGAATTAAGAAGTCGGGCAGCAAAATATATGCAAATGGAAGAATTGACCGAGTACTAAAGCCAAGCTCAAATGGAATAGGGGTCCAACCAAAGGGAAGGTGACAAAAGAGAATCTTTTAAAATTAGCAAGAAAATAAAGACCGAAAAGGAGAGGCCGAGCGACCACCAAGAGGACCCAAATATGCCATTTACACTACTTTAAACACCAATCGGTCAAAGTACTCGAGCAGGCATTGGCCACTAAGATATTGACTATCCCTAGGTGTGCGAATACCCCCCTCGAGCAGATAAGTCAAAATCGTGCCGATATCATAGAAACAGAAGACATACCACTGAAGATTGTACAACCCTCAAGGATTGTATTGAAGATTTGGTTAAAGCCAGACACCTGCAAGGGTTTATACAAACAAACCCTTCTAGACTTGCTGAAAGGAGCAAGGACCATCATCCCGAGCTATCAAGAAGATATAGTGATAGAAGAATGGAACAAAAATATAGCAGGTCAAGAGAACCCCCTGTCAAGCATAACGACGAACGTGGGATTGAAGGAGTATAACGAACTACTTGTCGGTTTCTCTGGAGAACGAGTGGAGACCCATGGCTGTATCGATCTATACACCTTGTTCGGATCAGAACACGAAGGAAAATGTATCAAGGTCAATTACCTAGTGGTACAAGCAAGTACTTCATATAATATACTACTCGGTCGGCCATTCCTTAATAAATTAAAGGCCATAGTGTCCACTCCTCACTTGGCTATGAAATTTTCATCTGACAAAGGCTGAATTATTACCGTTCATGCCAACCAAAAAACAGCTAGAGAATGCCACTTTGCAAGCTTGCATCTAAAACCCTTCCAAGGGTATAGACAAGATATCGACATTGTATCCCCTTGGTCAGGGGAAGAGTTGGATATAGAGCTTGATCTAAGAATAGACGAGGGGACTCGGGTGAAACCTAATGAAAACAAAGAACCTTTTCAATTAGGAAAAAAGCCCGAACAAGTCATATGCCTTGAAATCGGCCTCACATTGAATGAGAAACAAGTCCTTAAAAAGATGCTATTAAACAATGCTGATTTGTTTGCATGGTCAGCCTCAGACATGCCAGGAATAGACCTTGATTTTTTTATCCATTACCTATCAATTTACAAGGGGCACAAACCGGTAGCCTAAAAAAAAAGGAAGATCGGAGGAGATAGAGCAAAAGCAGCCCAAGAAGAAACTAGCAAGTTATTACAAGCCGATTTTATCTAAGAAGTGTGATATTCCACCTGGTTGGCTAATGTGGTGATGGTAAAAAAGGCCAACGGGGAGTGGAGGATGTGCACCGATTTCACAGATTTGAATAAGGCATGTCCTAAGGATGCTTACCCCCTTCCAAATATTAAGACCTTAGTTGATGGGGCTTCTAGCCATAAAGTACTCAGTTTTTTGGATGCATACTCTGGGTATAATTAAATCCGGATGTATCCTTTAGATGAGAAGAAAGCGACATTTATAACAAATTAGGCAAATTTTTGCTATAAAGTTATGCCCTTCGACCTTAAAAATGCAGGAGCGACATATCAAAGGTTGATAGATAAAATTTTTACAAAGAAGATAGGGAAGTGTATGGAAGTATATGTGGATAACATGGTAGTTAAATCTGTCAACCTTGACGGTCATGTTACTCATTTGACTGAAGTATTCAGTGAAGCGAAACGACATGAGATGCGGTTCAACCCAGAAAAGTGCCCATTCGGAGTAGCCGGAGGAAAGTTTTTAGGGTTCATACTTTCTGAAAGGGGGACTCAGGCAAACCCAGAGAAATGTCAGGCTATTATCGGGATGACCAGCCCTCGTAACATAAAATAAGTACAACGATTGACAGGCCGAATAGCTGCACTTGCCAAATTTTTGCCGACAATGGCAGAGAGATCTCATCCTTTCATCGACCTCCTCAAGAAGTCACACAAAAACACATTGGCGGCCCCTCCCAATCTAATAAAGCCAATATCGGGATTAGACATGATCGTCCATTTAGCTGTATCAGATAAGGCTATCAGCTCTATTTTATTGCATGCAACACCTAAGCAGGCACCAGTATATTTCATTAGCTGAACGCTTCAAGATGCCGAAACTCGATACCAGCTAATAGAGAAAGCAGTATTAGCATTGGTCCTCACAGCTCGGCGATTGAGGCATTATTTTCAAAGTCATCGGATAGTGGTACGTACCGATTGCCCAGTTGCCAAAATTTTATGAAAGGCGGAGTTAGCAGGACGTTTAATGACTTAAGCAGTGGAGTTATCCCAATTTGACATCTGATTTGAAAATCGAGGACCCCTTAAAGCCCAGGTGCTTGCTGATTTTCTTAACAAGTTCACTACTCAGAAACAGACCCATACAAACATATGGAAGCTACATATGGATGGATCGTCAAACCTTAAGGGTTGTGGAGCAAGAGTTATTTTGGAAGGACCAATGTGGCCAAATAGATTAATGGTACTTACCAAGTTAAAGATCCAGTCATGTTGCAATAGTACTAGGAGTTTAAACGGATAAAAGACGAGTTTGAGGAAGTACGTGTTCAGTATACATCGAGAACCCTAAATGAGCAAGCTGATAGAGTTGTAAAATTAGCAAGTCAAAGGAAGCCCGGTCAGCTACACAGCATGATTCAGCAGGAAATTAGTTTCCCTAGCATACGTGGACAGGAATGTATCAAAATTGAAGATACATCTCGGAATTGGATGACAGAAATTATTCAGTATCTTAATACTAATAATATACCTAAAGATCTGGATCAGGCGAGATAATTAAGAAAAAGAGCAGCCAGGCTTACCCTTGTTGGTCAAGAACTGTATAAAAGAGGAATCTTTACCCCTTTGCTAAAATGCCTTGATATCAAACAAGCCAATTATGTAATGAGGAAAATTTATGAAGGTATTTATGGTACCCACTCGGGGGAACGAATAATGGCAGTAAAAATTCTAAGGGCAGCATACTTTTAGCTGACCCTATCCAAGGATTGTGATCTTTTTGTCAAAAAAATGTATCCCCTGTCAGCAACACGGTCCATATATACACCAGCATGCCAACAACCATCATCCAATTACTTCTCCTTGGCCTTTTGCCATTTGGGGAATAGACATGTTAGGACCCTTTCTTTTGGCTAAAGGACAGTGTAAATTTTTTTATTGTCGCTATTGACTATTTTACCAAATGAATTGAAGCAGAGCCGCTTGCCACCATCACAACACATAATGTTCAGAAATTCATTTGAAAAAACATCATCACACGTTTCGGCATTCCATATGCCCTAATCACAGATAAGAGTCTACAGTTCACAGATCGGCGCTTTAACGAATTTCTAGAAGGATTGCAGATTAAGCACCGAGTCACGTCTGTCGAACACCTTCAAACTAATGGACAAGCCGAGGCAGCAAATAAAGTCATCCTATATGAGCTAAAAAGAAGATTGGGTTCGGAAAAGGGTGAATGGGGGC